ACCCACGTTTACAGCGACGAGCCTGCACCAAAGAGCCCCGTGTCTGTCCCGCAGAGCTCTGCGCCGCTGCCCGTGCCCGGCCTCCCCAGGAGGCAGGAGGAAGGTTTCGGCTTCACCCCGCTCCATCCCGACTCCCACGAGGTGCCTTGGGGGGTCAGCAGCTTCGAGCGGCCTCAGCAGCGAGAAGAGCCCAGGTTCATCCCCTCTCCTCCCAGCCTGGTCTTGCAGGAGGAGCTGAAGGTCTCCACGAAAGCCGTCACGCTCAGTAACCACCTGGGCAGAGCCAAGATGGAAGAAAGCAGCCGCTTGGAGAACAAACCGACTCAAGCCGCGACCCCCATGGTCTTCTCCGCGGAGACGGCGAAGGAGAAACCACTCGAGGAAATGAGGAAGGAGGAGAAGAAAACGAAGGGCGGCCTCTTCCACCACGGGGGCAACAAGAGCGACGCGGGGAGCAAAGGCCAGGGGGAGAAAGTGGGGTCCTCCCACGGCTCATCCGTCCACACGACAACAGGGGGAGAGGAGAGGAGCAAAACCGGCGGCTGGTTCGGCTCAAGGGAGCCCAAAGAGTCCCCTCAGAAACCCAGGTCAGTGAAAAAGGGGGGGTGTTGGTGTCTAAGCCGTGAATTACCTGTCCCAACCTCCTGTTTTCGCTGTGAAACGCCCCCCAGCATCAGTGGAGGACTGGTCCCCATTGCTCACACGAGGTGCTAGCGGGGATAAAGTATCCTGGGTCCCAAATGGCTCACAGGGAGGGTGATTTCTCCTGGATCCCCCTCACCTCTGCCACAAACCAACCCCATTTGCCCCCCACCGGGCTGTGTTTCCCAGCTGGGGAAGGGAGGGATCCCCTTCATGGAGAGGGAGACGATTCCCTCTGCAGAGGTGAGGCTCGGCGTGGTTGTGGCTTTGAAGTAAAGGATCGTTATCCTTTAACGAGCTAAAACAGCCTCCCTGGCAGTCAGGGTGGGACGTGGGACACAGGGACGTGTAATCGCATTCTTTTCATTAACCTCCCACCCCTCTACATTGCTGCTCTGGTCTGGGGGTGCGGGTCTAAGGTAACTGGAGATAGGATTCGTATTTCTGAAGTAACTCATCCCAGTCCTGCTCTTTCCTCTTCCTGCCCCCCCCCCAGCCTTCCCTCCTCCCAATTACCAACCTCTTTAATTGTTCTCACTTCGGGTCCATCCCCCCCTCGAATCCTCAGCGCTGTCTTTGTGGTGTTGGTGCTGTTTCCGTGCGGGCTTTGTCGTGACCGTGCGTCCCCCACATCCATCCCCGTGCCCCCCGCGGCTGAACTGGGGGTCCAGGGCTTGACTTGCGACCCCATTGCTCAGTGAGAGGGAGAAAATAGGGTGAGAACCACAGAAAATAACAGCTGAGAGCTGGCTGAGTCTGGAGGGTTGGTTTATTATAGGGGTTTTCTAATCTGGGCTGACTTTAACCTCATTTATTCAGCAGAAGGATTTGAATTCAGTCTAAGCCTCTTCTCATGAGCCGGGCACTCATGGTTTATTCAACGTAACCAGGTTCCCACGTGGGTTCAGCTGCTTGGATGGGAGCTCCTGGGGCTGCTGGGGCTGCGGTTTCTACTTGGGGGTCTTTCATTTTTAGGTGACTTGAAACCCTGGTAGTTATAGGGGGTCACATCCCAAGGTTTGCTTCTGGGTGAGACTGGAGGACTTTGGTCTCTGAAGGCTGAGATTGAGGAAGGACCCCTCAAAATTGTTCTGATTTTCAAGATTATTTAAGTTTTGTCTTTCATTTTGTGGTAACAAACCTGCTGTTTAAGTCCTAGAATAGGAAAAATACTGTATGAAAAATAAAGCCATAAAAAAAATCCTGCTGTATTCAGGAAGCCTCCATGACGATGGGAGCGTGCGATGGGCTGGGAGATGCCCTCTGCGTCTCCTTCTGGTGCCTTTTCCTCTATAAAGGGGTGAAAACCCCGTGGTTTTCCTCCCGCTTTGCAGTTTTAGGAAGGAGAAAGACACGGCCATGCCCCTACAACCGACGTGGGAGCCATCCCTGCCCCGCTCATGGCTTTCTACAAGGCAGGGATGTCCGATGTGGCTGCAAATTGGCTCCTGAGCGCCTGTAGCATCCAACTCAGCGGAAAATTGCTGTGAGTGCAGAGTAGCCCTTAAAAACCACAGGTTTCTAACAGCCCTCTGCCTAATTCTGTTTAAACAACAGCTTCTGGACCCATTCCCGGCGTTATTCCCTTCCCAGAGGGGTTTCACTCTGTGTTTTTTCATCTACTTCAGTGCTCGTGGTTTAATTTCAAGCTAAGCCAGAGCTGAGCTTTGCTTGGAGTGAGTTTGTGTGACGAAGACCCCGTCGTTTCAGGAGAAATTGGGATGAGCCGTGCGCTTTTCTCTCCCAAAAATACAAACTGCTTGGAAACAAGCACGGGCTGGAGGGGACAAATTCACTGGGGGCCTGTTTTGGGGTGTTTAAAGGCATCTGAACGGGCTTCAGTTGCAGTTTGCAGTTTGGAAATGGGAAGTAACGAGCGTAAAGTGAAGTAAGGGGGGTTGAAGGGAGACGTGAGGAGAAGTCTCTGATGAGGATGGGGAAGCGGCGGAGCTGGGAGGGAGGAAGCCCAGCACCTGGGGCTTTGGGGTCTGGGGTAGGTGAGGACCTTTTAGCACTTTTGGGGAGCATCACACGGCCCAAAGTGGGCGGTGGGAGATGGCGATGGGCCTCGTCTGATGCACAAATGGACTTTCCTTCCTCACAAGGAGATGTTGACTCTCTCTTGTCTCGGCTTTCCCGGCTCCTCGTTGTATCTGACCATGAATTCCAACATCATGACCTGTTCTAATTAGACAGAGCTCCGGTTTTTCTGGGTTTATTCTCCTTCCTTACGCTCAGTGACCTTGCGGTTGCCACCGATTTCAGCCAAAGCTGCTGCAGAGCTCATCAGCTCTTGGCGGTGCCAGCGCGAACGTGCGGTCGGGTGCCACCAGGGCCGCGATCACTGAGTCCCTTTGGTCGGAAACGTAGCAGTTTATGGCTGTCCAACTGCATCTGGGGGAGCTGCTCAGTCATCGTTTAACTTCTACGGCTGAAGATGGATTAACCTTTGCTTCCCAGCCTCCGCATCGAGCAGTTTTAAGTCACAGAATCGCTCGGTTGGAAAAGCCCTCTGAGATCATCATGTCCAACCGTTCCTGTCCACCCCCTAAACCATATCCCTAAGTACCTCATCTACCCACTCCTTAAACACATCCAGGGATGGTGACTCCACCACCTCCCTGGGCAGCCTGTTCCAGCTTCTGACGACCCTCTCAGGA